GTTTTTTAGGCCTCCACCCGGAGACCGTTATCTGCAACAGCTCCGTCAGAGGCCCTTAAGCATGCTGATCCAGTTCATCTACCCAAGGACTTTTTTGTTGATCCCTCTGAGACGGGAGGTGGCAAGACTGCAAAGAAACGCCTGGCATCATCTGAGTGTGGAAATCTGCTCCTGTGTGCACCACCGTCATTGGTCCCGGAAATCGTTCCGCGAGTTGGCCTGCCCCCTGCCAAAAATCTGCGACTTCCTCCGGCCTCGCCACCTAAAGACCATGGTGAGTTTTCCCACTTCCCCCTAATAGTGCCCCCTTTTATCGTTGTCCCCCCCCTCCCCTCCCCCACCCACAAACATTCTGTAAACTTTGGAGCAGTATATAGGCGGTAGTCGGTTGGCCTGCTAACTGCGAGCTCAATTTCGTCGGGTTCCCGTCTTTTCCTTTGTCGTGTAAATGTATTCATAATTTATCTGAGTGAAACGAAGATTTTTCGAATTAGGAATCCTATAGTTAGGATTCTTCCTGGTTGGGTAGAGTATTGGACCTCGGGGCCTAGTCCTATCTTATATGGTCTAGAAAATAAAACTTTATTAAATCAGACCTTTGCAAATACGTAGGCAGAACTGGAGTGTGAAGTGGGCTTCTGACATAGTAACTTTGGCTTCTTACTAGCTTCAGCTTTCTTAAATCTACGATTAAAATTTACAGTGGAGTCTCGGGTGACAAGCAGCTCTACCTACGAGCATTCGAAGTAACGAGCGAACCGCCCGCAGAAAATTTGTTTCGATTGACAAGCTTCCGCTCAGTTAATTAGTAGTCTGTGCGTGTTTGAGTCTTGCTCCCTGGGGCTTCGTCAAACCACTAAGACAACGGCAATTGTCAATAGATGCGTTATTGGAAATGTACAAAAAAGACGCGCAAGTGATAGTGAACCACAGCTGGGTCCCAGTGGGGTGAAACTCACAAGAGGTGAGAGCCAGCCTGAAACAAAGGTGGATTCTCCTCCCTTCCACACCGCAACCCCTCTCCTCCTTTCCATCATCTCCCTCATCTTCATAAGGCAAAATGCAACTGAAAACAGCAAAAAAAGCACTGTTAATAGTTACATTATAAAATCTCATATTTATACTTTTCGATGGGGGAGGGGGGCGGAGTGCACGGATTGGTTTTATTTCCATCATTATAAAGGGGAAATTCGTTTCGCAATACGAGCACAGTCCCAGAGCGGTTTAAACTCGTTAGCCGAGGCTCCATTGTATTTTCATTCGGTAGGTTAAATTAATTAAAATTTTACGGTTATGTTAGTAGACCTCGACTCTTACATTTAAATTACGACCATCGTCTGTTCGGTTTGTTGTTCACTTCTGTCTGCGACATTAACTCAGGCTGCTGTGCACAATACATCCTTCCCTCTGGTATCTTCTGTCTTTTGCCTACAATCTGGGCTTCGGTCTGCTGATTTTAGCGTTCTGAGCACAACCACTG